TCAACATCTTGGGAGCCTGCCGTTTTCCTCCAGAGCCGGGATCTGACGCGCAGCCTCCAGCTGAGCAGAGTGAGCTCCACATATGGTCCGCGGTCCTAAAATGATGATCCTGTTGGTGGAAGGTTGACACACACACACACACACACACACACAACAGAAGGAGACCACAGAGTCGCAGGCTCTCTCTCTCTCTCACCCTCCCTCCCTCTCTCTCTCTCACACACACACACTTCCCCTCCTTCCTGCATCACAGCCCGCTGTTCCATCACACGTTCACGTAATCCTCCGGTGGAGACGCGGACTTGTTAGAAATGCTGGAGGAGCTCGAAGCTCTGACTGGCTGCACAATCTGAGGATTCAGCCAAAGAAAAGTCAAGACACGAGCCGGAAAAGACTCCACACAGGACGGAGTGATTGGATTATTGATCCCCGCCTTCGGTACTCCACTGACGGTAAGTCAGAGCATGTTCGGTGTATTGTTTGTCTGTATCGTCTTATCGCTGCGACTGAAAACCAACAAAACCGCCGGGAAGTAACAAACGCTGGGATCCGTCACTCGGATCTTTTCGGCGGGAACAGATGAGATTAGATATAAAATAAAATAAAGAAAAGAAAAAAAAAGAAAAACTTTTGTAACCATAAAAAAAAAAAATGAAAAACTTTTGTAACCATTAAAAAAAAAAATTCTCCGTGTTTTTGAGACGAGTGATTTCAGAAAAAAAAAAAAACCTGCAGGAGAGTTTTGTCCGCGTGGTGCGTTCAAGTGCACCGTCCGTCCGTCCGTCCAACCGGTGGCGATGCGCAAATGTTGAGCAGCTTTTGATGGAACTGTCAAAACGCACGGGTTCACGTGAACGTCTTCTTCCTCCTTTTCTTCTTCTTCTTCTTCTTCTTCTTCTTCTTCTTCTGACTTGCGTAACAGTCAGACTGCAGCACTTCTTCACTTCACAGTCTCGCGGTGTCGCTGCCTCCTGTCATTGTTTGCCATCGTTTCACAGCCAACGAGCTGCTGATCGCACTTCCCACTTAATGGCTAATGTTTCAAACCTGCCACTTCACATTCACACGAGGAGGACAAGTCCTGGGAACCGATGTGTTCTCCTGCCAGCACTGGGTACTTACTTACACTAAAGGGACAGTGCACAATAATAATAATTATTATAATGATAAAGTATTATTATTGTTGTTGTTATTATATGAATTTAATTTTTTTTTTGCTGTTACAATCTTAACATGTGAGTTCTATAAAATTACAGTAATTTCATCCAAAAACCTAAAAAGTATAAATATATAAAACTCAATTTAAAAAGTATATAAAAAGTGTAAATTTTTTATTATGTGAAGTATTTTGCACACTTAAACAATACAAATGTAATATTTCTTTTTTATTATTATTATTTAACTCTTGTTTTTTACTCTTATATTTAGAGATTTCTGAGGAACCTTAAAAGTCAAAGTGTGTGTTTGACATGACAGGCTTCATGCTGCAGTGGGTGTTACCCTTCATTCTCTTTTTTCTTTTTCTTTTTTTCTTTTTGTAAAGATTAACCAGCATCATGAAAATGTTCCGCACTTCCTTTCCCCTCCCTGTGTTTTTTCTACTGTATTATGTGTTTTTTATTTATTTTATTTATTTTTTGATCTGCTGCAGGTGAGTTAGTGAGTGTTGGTCAACGCTGCAGCCCCGGCTGCCTTTTGTTGAGTTGCTGTGATGTCAGAGTCGTGATCATCATCAGGTGGTTTTCAAGGTGCAAAAACAAAGGTGGTGTTACGTAAAAAAAAAAAAAAAATCCTTTTCTCTCTGTCTGACGTTTTTCCTCAAAAACAGCGTCGACGTCAGAGTCGACAATCCTTTTCTCTCTGTCTGACGTTTTTGCTCAAAAACAGCGTCGACGATGAAGAGAGAAGGAAAATCAAAACATTTTCTTATCATTTTAAAAAGGCGTCAAACACACACATCGTCTTTAATCACTGAGCTACAGTGGACGGAGCGGTGACACCTGGGTTGGTCATGTGACCAGTCAGTGGTCAGTCCGTTGAACAGTGTGATTGAGTTCATTTGAGGAGTTTTGGTGACAGTTTTGGTGACAGGAAGCAGCCCAGGTCTTGGTGGAGTGTGGAGTGAGCTCCGAGCTCCTCTGTAGACAGTACCATGGTGCATACTGTAGAACTTGGTCGCCATGGCAACAAAAAACATCAGAAGAATCTGGTCAGATGAAGCAGTGATGCCTAAAGAGATGAATGGTAGAGTCGCAGCAGAGAAAGGAACCGATTCACAAACATCAGAATCAAACCAAAACAACGCAGACTTTTTTTTTTTTTCTGTTCTCGTCGTTTCTGACTCGACGCCCCTGAAAAGTGAAAAACCTAAAAATGTTCTCGACTTCTTTCACAAGAACCATCAGTGACAGTTTGGTCTTTAATGAGGCATTACAGGACTGGAAGTTTGGCTGCGGCGGCGGCGGCGTATCACTGCCATCTGCGCCCGTTTCCCTGTAAAAAGACTGGCCTCCAGTTCCAGAGCCACAGATTTCTCTGGCCTGGAGCCATGATCTGACTTTAAACCAACAAAGCATCGCTCCAAAATAGAAACACACAGTTATTTATTAAATAAAGGTGGCGGAGCCCAGAAAATAAAGTAGAAAATAAAGTACAATGTTACAGAGTAGTATTGTTTGAATTCATGTTTTAGAATCACAGAGTTAAGAAGAAGAAGTTTGAACATCACATCATCGGAAAATGTCATTTTAAAAAAAAAATTTAAGAGATGAATTAGGAGATCAAAGACATCCAGCAGTTTGATTAACTACATATAAACAGAACAAACACTGGAGACAATGAAGGATTTGACAACTGTAATCTAATCTAATCTAATCTAATCTAATCTAATCTAATCTGATCTAATCTGACTAAATACATTGTAATCTTTTTTAAATTTCTCTGCTTTGTTCTGTGTCCCAGCAGTTTTAACCAGTTTGTTGTAACGACCTTGACTCAGAGCAGTTCAGATCGGCCTCTGCTCTGACGACTGTTAATCTGTGACGTGACAGTAAAAAAAAAAAGTCAGACGGGAGTAGATCAGCAGATACTGTCCTTCTGGAATGTTCTCTGTGGACCTCACTGCAGGAGAGGGAAGTGGTACTTCATTATTAGCTCCTGTCTCTCCACTTTACTGCATGAACATCATGTTATCCATCCATCCATCCATCCATCCATCCATCCATCCATCCATCCGTCCATCCATCCATCTACAGTACGTACATCAGGGCTACGATGATTTGCAAAATTCACACTTCTGTTCGATACAGTTCAGTATTTGTTCAACAGCTAGCTGGTAGTCCGTTTTTTAAGGTATCTCGACATACCACCTTAAAGGATCTTTCTGCCTGAGCAACTTTTATTTTCCTGTGTGAAGGAACGTTGATCATCAGAAGTTGATAGAATTAACATGAAATTGCAGTGGTCGGATCCTGCTGTTACATCATGGTGTTTGTTTCTGAAAACCACAGATATGT